GGTCAAGCTTAAATAAATTTTAAGAAAACTTAAAAAAACTTTTAAAAAATAATTTAAGCGGGCAAATTTGCTCGCTAAACGGTTTAAGGGATAGTAATATTTGTATTTATAGCAATTGCTTTTAATATTAATAATCAAATTAAAATTTTGCAGTCTATTTTTGATACCAACGGAGATTTTTCTTACATGTACAAATAATGAATCAATTTGCTTCATTGATTAATTCAATTTATAATGTTGTCAACTATTTTACAAATGTATTTAAATGTATTAAAGTGGGTGTTTAATAGATTAATTTTTCAAAATTTCTATTTTTTTGATAAATGCTTTGTTTTAAAATAAAGAGGTTTTTCTCTACATTTTTATATATTACTAAAAAAAATTATTTTGATCATGAAATAATGATGCCAAATTACGATCAAAAAATTATAATACATATATTATAAAAGAGTTTATATAATCTGTTATATTAATTATTTAGAATATGTTCTTGAAGGATTATAAAAATTACTCTTTGCTATTTCTTAAACTGTTTTCTAGACAAATTTGCCTGAAAATTTTATGATTGATCTGTGATTAAGCTATCAAATTATATTGAATAGTAGTCTAAATCATAGTAGATATGTAGTTAAATTGACAGTTTAAGGGATAATAAAAAGCACTTTCGCATAATAAATTAAAACATACAAAAACCTCATGATCTTAGCAGCTTCTATTACTTCTTGAGTTGCAATTGGTTTATTATCACTTCTTGAATATTCAATAATTTCAACTTTTTTATAAGTAAATATTATTGCTATAAGTGTAATTTATCTGCTTGCATTAATTGACAATTATTGCTAAGAAAATTGATAATAAAATTCATTCTGTAAGTTTATTGACTAATAATAAATTACAACAAACAAAAAAGAACAAATAAAATATATGTCCTATAAATCCTGATTTCATGAAGCGAAATATCGCATCATTAGTCAATATAAATGGATCAATCTAATTCAAATAGTATATCGATTAGTTGATAAGTTACTGTAGGAGTTAATACTGTAATAATAATAAGGTATGAAAAAGCTTAATCTCCAAATATTACTATTAAAGTAGTTAGATGAGGAACACAAAACTGGTAGTTAGAAAAAAAACTCCTTGTCACTTAATAAAAGATTTATTAGATTTTGAGCAAAGATGTTTTGGTTTAGTATTGCTAAAATTAACTCATGAAGAATAATGAAATCTGCTCTTTACAATAATAAAAAAGCACTTTTGCATAGTAAATTAATGCTATAACCAAAAATTTCACGATCTTAGCAGCTTCGATTACTTCTTGAGTTGATATTGTTTCATTTTTATTTCTTGGATATTCGATAATTTCAATAGTTGTGGGAGTAAAGATTATAGCTGTAATTCAATGTATTCAATCAAAAAGATTTGAATCTGAAATTCATTAACTCTAGTCTCGAGTTTAATTTACCTGGTTTGTCTTGACTAATAATTATTGCAGATACTATCAATAAAAGCGCAATAGTTGTAAAAATTTGGTTTGATGAGAAAATTGATAATACAATTCATTTTGTAAACTTTAAAGTTGATAACGGTTGAATGTTTGATTTCTATGAGATCAAAACATTTTAACAGATTATATCCTATTTTCCAGATTTGCATGCAGATAGTATTTGGGTGCTTTTATAATTTTCTCAGAAAAAAAATAAATAAAGAAGCGTGTCACTAGAGGTTATTCAGACTACCGTATCATTATTTTTACTCATGATTCCATATTTATAATTGTATTGTGCTTTACTGGCTTTTCTAATTTTTCATATGGGTGGATTTTTACAATTCAAATATAAGAAACGTCTAAAGCAAGATAACTTATAAATTAATATTTTGTCAAATTAACTTTAGGGTTGGCATAGACTAATTACTTCATTATTATAGAATATTGTTAAACATCTTGCGTAATCCTTACAGATTTTTTATTTATTTTTGAACTTTCAAATGAAGATAAAAAGAACTTCTAATGAAATCAAAACAATCTAACAGCATAAGGCCACACAAAGTTGATTCTTAGTTTTGTATTACATGGATTTCAAATTTTTAGTCGGTTCTATCAGACAACTCTGGAAAACTAAGGTCTCGGTCAAAAAAATTAAATAGCAAAAATCGAATAATTGACACAATTGGCACTTAAAAATTGAAAAAAAAAGTGTTGATCAGGTAATGCAAAACGAAAAATCAACTTTGTGTAGCCTAATCTAATGGCTATCACAAAAACACAAAAAAATTGTATTTGTTAGTATTTGATTATAACCCCAATTTATATACATCACGAAGAGTTTGATGTTGTAAATCAGGTAACAAAATTGTTACCAGTTTTAAAGTTTTCTTTTCATCCAATTCGTTATTCAAATAGTTATAAATTTGGTTTAGTTGGATATTTTGATTATTCAAAACTTTAAAAACTTGATACAGTATCAAAATAAATAACCAATTTATTAGAAATGATATAACTTATATGCATACAATAATCATAAATCATATTACCTTCTAGACTTTTATTTAATTCTTTGCAAAGAGTTGGATCTTGTAATGCAGGTGACAACATTGTCTCCAATTTTAATCTTTTCTCTTCATCCAATTTATTGTTCAAATTGGTACAATTCTGGCTTAGTAGAATGTTTCGATTATTCAAATCTTTAATAACTTGATATAGTATCAAAATAAACAATCAATTTTTATTAGAAATATTATAATTTATACGTATACTATAATTATAAATCATGTTACCTTTATTCAATTTTTTCTTCAATTCTTCCTTCGAATGAATGATTTCATTGAGCAAAAAAGGTTCTTTGTATTCTTGCTTGTTCAAAATCAAAAGTACTTACATAGATAGCTTTAATTAGTAAATTCTAAGAATTACGTATTCTCGTATGTAACTAAAATATAATGATAATTTACATTTCTTTTTACTATAAGATTTTGTAATCTTAAGTTCCTTTATGGCTCTTCTATATAAACCTTGTTTATATTCTATACTAGAAGGTTTATCGAATAAACTATTGTTTTTAGCCATAGAAATTCCCAAAGTATTATTCGAAGTACTATAAAAGAGAGATAATTATTAGGAACTTTTTATTAAAGTCAAAACAATTGATAAGAGATTATTCATGCCTCTTATTTTTATATGATTTGAAATCATTATCGTTTGTTGGAGTCATTGATTTATTTATCATAAAAATATTGTATAGTTCATTAACTTTGTCATAAATTAAACACGTTTATTCAAGAGATTTATAATCATTATAATCATAACATGTTAACAGAAATAAACTTATATTCTCATCTCCATTTGTAACCGAGCTCTGATCAGATTCGTAAGACATTATAATTGAACTTTCGGTCTGATAAATTTATGGCAAATGAATCAAAACCCTTAACGTTGAAATAATATGTTTTATGAAACTATAACATGTGAATTGAATTCTCTACATTCAATTCTATACATAATCAGCACAGTTGAAAAATTATTACCTAATATTCAGAGAAGAATATTTCTTCTATAATCAAAAAAGATAAGAGTTGTCAATTTATTAGTTTTCGGCTTATGATTTCTATGTAAACAAGATAATAATTATAGAACCAATCATCTTATTTTGAACATGTTTAAAATAAATTAAAATACATAAATATAAAGAATAAAATAAAAAAAGCAATAAAAAATTTTAATCTATTTCTGTATATTACTATAATTACCAGTTCTTAATATTTTTTTTTTTTTTAGTTATTAAGGCTGATGTTACGGAGCTTACTGCCTTTATTTGTGTTTTTAGTTAATGCATTAC